AACAAGGACTAGTAAAATTACCATATAATATCTTATTATACATCTCGGCTTTTATGTTAATGTTTAAATGCATCAAATCTGTTTTTAATTGATCTCTCCTTCAAGTACAATTATAAGTGCATTATCTCACGCTCCTAGTGAACCCGGACAAGTGCCAATAATAACTAAAAATCAGTGGCGCCTCTCTCCCGAGATCCCTGAAGATAACACCTGGGGCACGATGTTCAAAATACACATAAATTTGTATGCCACCTGTTGACACGTCCATTTAACAGGTTCATTATCAGATTAAAGTCTTCAAAAGATATAAAAACATATATTGTACCGTGCATATTTCAATATACCAATCTTACGTACAATCGTAATTTTCGTCATTCGAAAATAAATATCACGATATAAATATACATAATATAATATTTCGCTGAATGACTATGTCGGTATTGTTTCGTTCTCACGACAAAGCCTGGGGCGTTAAAGTCACTTTTCCAAAATATCTAAATTGGATACGTATCGGCCGTGTGCATGATAGAAAGGTGGTGGTGGTGGTGATCGTCGTCGTCGTGTATAAGAATGGGAAAAAATCTAGTAAAATAATGGGAAATAAATATAAATAAATTAAATGTACTGATAGAGAGATGGGCCGGCGACCGCCTTATGAATACGTTAGTATTATATATAAGAAAAAAGAAGTGCTCGGTTAAAAAGCCCAGAAGCTAAAACGTATTATTTCTACTCCGGTAATGACTCGGCACAATTTGGTAGCGCTCGGAATTAGCTTCTCCTTTCACACATATACACGTTAACCATACGTATGTGTAAGGCCATCGTAGTTATCAATAATGAATACAGTACAAGAAGACGAATAGAAAGAGCAAGATGGAAAAATAAAAAAATAAAATGCATTAAGAATATTATTTGTCATCGATTGTGTGACTCGTGCAAGAATGCCGGCGATATATGTAATCCGTTTCGGGTAATTATTCTTTTGTTAGTAAAATGCGTTCTTTATTGGTGTCTCGACCAATGGCCGACATGGACAATAATATTATTCCACATGCCGTTTATTCTCAATTCCATTATTATTTTATTATTATAATGTATGTATTCAGATTGATGTTGTGCGACAATAGAAAAAATAAAGAGAGAATTCTGTACAAAGGAAAAAAAACCAAATTTTATCTTTGAACCTTTTAATATTTATCCATTATAATAATTATTTATGACTTGCTTGAAAATTTGCATTCCGAAATGGCTTAATAATTTAACGTATTTCAATTAGATGATGTCCCGTGTCATCATGTTAAACATAATCGTTTCGCTATTAAAAAAGCAACTGTATTTGGTCATAAAATACTTTTATACAAAACGACGTATGCTATCTATGAGCTATAATATTAATATTGTAAAGAATCTCTGGCTTTTTGTTATTTCAATTTGCATTGTTAAAATATAAAATAATTATGCGCGGATGGAAAAAAAACCAATTAGAAAGTCCTTGTAATTAGCGCGTAATCAATGTTAGACAACAATAAAACAGATAACCCGCGTATAATCGTATTCGTCCGTGTAATTATTGTGCTCGACGTTTTTCTTAACGTACCCGTAAATTGTTATCTGTTAATTTTACGAAACTCGCGTTTCTTCGACCAACAGCAGCATGTGATGAATCGATAAGCGTGTGTTATGCAGAGGAACCACTTCGCACGTACTATATTTTCAAAATGTTACGCGAAAATAAAAAATAAAATAAGAAAAAAAACTTTTTAGATGCATTATATGGCAAGGTGGGCGCGTGTATCGGTTCGCCGGCAATCCCTCATTGCTTAAATCGTCAACACATACTTATGTACATGTACATTTGAATTGTGTTCTGGTCCAAATGTATAATATTATAATACGTGTGCATAAAATTACGATCTAGTGTTTCGGACACACGTCGTCGTTTTGTTTTCACCACCGGACACCAGTGGCGCGTATTTGGTCTATTGCCAACGTGCGTTCGTATCGCGGTGTACAACATACGTACAACGTATTATAATGTGACTACTATACTCCCTTTTATGCATTATACGCGTGTAAAATATTCCTCCGGCGGCGGGTGCCTAGACCGTGTTCGAGCAGAGCACGTGTAAACAGGTAACTAGTACTGCGCGCGGTGTGAACAAGTTACCCGCGGCGGCGTTTCAATTTGTCCAATTATCGCGCAAGGGATTAATCACCACTCCGTCTACTATTATTTTGTACGCTGCCGCCTCGTCGTCATCGTAGTAACGTGCCGCGGTCATCATTTGTCAAAACGTTGTTAAAAAATAAATAAATAAAAACTGTGTATATATATATATGTGTGTGTGTGTGTGTGTGAGTGTGTGTGTATGTTGGAGAAAATTAAAAACAAAAAACTACGCGCGGTATAATATACGCGACCGAGCAGCAAGCAGTAGTAGTAACACAGCGGCAGCGCTCGACAATACGACTACCGGTGAAGAGGAGGAGGAGAGGCCCCGGGGCGGCGACCGACCGGCACCTAGGAATGTTTACGACGACTCCGCGATGCATGTAAATCGGGTCCGCGACGACAACGTCTTCATTACACGCGTTGGCTTCGAACGGCTCGCCGTGTCCGATGCCCGTCTCCTGGGTGCAATCTAAAACGCGCGTGAGACGGAAAAACTTCCGAAAAACTAGCCGCCTGTGTTCGCCCCGCAGCAGTCGCGCGCGTACGGTTTTCGAACACATCTGTCTATCGTCGTAAAAAAAAAAAAAACAAAAACATTCGTCCGCAGTGTTTTACAGTACATTTATGGGACGTGCTACTACCGCGCTACTGCTAACTATTACTACTACTACTTACTACTACTACTACTATTACTATGGTACTACTCAATCGTTTTGCTACCACGCGTTAGTGTGATACGTTGTTGAAAATACGGTAGCGTTTCGAAAAAACGAAATTATACGTCGGATACGCGATAAAAATTAATTACCGTGAACAAGTTTGACAAATTTAATTTTACCGATTTATTGTAAAAAAAAAAAAAAAACATTTTTATATAATTTTGGGAAAAACGATACCTATAACTTCAGACACCGCCTGTGCGTTTACACACTTTGTTATCAACACTACTTAACAATACTATTGCGAAGGCGCGTGCAAAATAAATCGTGTCCTGCAGAGTGCAGTCGCACCAGACGGTGAACGACCGACCTGACCGTCTCCAACGACCCCCAAAACGCGACCATCGCCGGATTTGTTAACGCATTTGAACGGAAAACATCAAATGCCAGTCGCGTTACGCAACCCTTTGTAGTAATATATTCTCATTCCTAGCGTCAAACACGCCGTGTCCTGTACGTCAATCAATCGTATACACCACAAACACACTGCAATATTTGTGCAACCTCAAATTTTTTATCGCGCACGTGAAAACGAATTAATTCAACGTAGACGTGCAGATACATGGTACATAGTAGCATTAAAGCATAGAGCTTGTATTAACGGCGAATTCCTTGTACGTGACTATGATTTATAGGGCCAGCGGGGGACACTTGTCGTTCGAAAAGTGAATTCGAGTTCGTTTGCTTGACATACATTGTAGCAGTAGTATAACCGAAAACCACAACAATAAACGAGATCCTACGGAGAGAGAGAAGTGTTGCCCGGGCCGGGTTAGAGACAAAAGCGACTTGTTATATTGTACATGGATTCATACGTCTAGGGAGTCTTCGAAATGAAGTCAAGGTCTCCGTATATAGTGGAATTTGTTGCCGCGAATTTCGGTACCACCCGGTAGCGGAGCACACTGCGCGCACTCACTATCTATACACAATAATATTATATTCAAACATTGAAGACTACACATCGACTACGGTGGCGGTCTCTGATATGTAAAAAAAAGCATTAGGTGGACACAAAAAAAAAAAATACACTACTGAGCGTTAGGAATTCATTAGCGGCGAGATAGAAAGGGTCCGAAAGAAATCCTTGGTCTTAATTGTGTATAAAAGCGTCTATGGATATAATATATGGAAACCGGCGCGTAATTAGAATAGACGAAAATTGTATTTTAATAATAATAGTTGATAATAATAATAACAACCGCGGTAGCCCCGGAAGAATGAAAAAGTGTTTAGAGAGAAGGCCATTAGTTATTCATGGCTGACACGCGGGGCTGAATCATGCGTTATTAAAAAAAAAAAAAGAACCCGAAAGAAAGAGGTAAAGAAAAAAATCGTATTGCTTAACGACGAAATATTCTTTACACACATATATATGTATGTGTATATGCTTCAAACCCATTCTGTTTCTCATTAAAATATCATTAGACCGAACGAGTATGTGCCTTTCGATTCTCTCCCCACCACCCCTCTAACTTCGGAACCCCGCTAATGACACATACACGACTCTGTATGATTATTAATCCTCCCCACTCTTGTGTACGAAATAAGTAAAAGTCTATTATGGTCATTTGTTGCAATTTCGTTTTCCTTCACATTTTTTTTTTTTTAATGTAAATAAGCTTACGATTCTGATAACTTTTTGTTAAAATTGCAATTCTATAAAAGCTTGTTTAAAATGTAAAGAGTAATTCAAAACTAATCCGAAACGTTTTACCGAAATAAATTATAGTGGTTCATAGTTCAAGAGTAAAATATTATTTTTCATGTTTAAGATTTAATGGGTTCAACACATGATGACGTCATTCCACTTGATCATCTCGTGAATACCGGGTACCACGAATGACTCAAATATCTGACATCTTATCTACATTAAATGAATAAAAAATCGTTAATTGGTTCATCATACAATGTTAGTAAATCTTATTCCGCGAAACTGTCGTTCACCTTGTTCTCTCGTTTGCATAGTTTCTCTTTAAAAGTGTGTGTGAAATCTTGTCTGTACAACATGCAATATATTATACACTGTAAACAGCAAACTCATAAGTAATATTATATTCTTATCTTATAACGTGCTTAATTTTACTTTTCATTTGTATTTTTAGACCCTTCAGATCGACTGATGCACCTTGAACACAAATTCTACAGCCGAGATGGTAAGTATTTTACCAATTAATTATGTACTATATGTATAAATTATATTAGCATTCCTTTGGTATGTGTCAGTTTACAAAAATAATAATCCTTATACCGAACTTACCGTAGTGTATCACAACTATATTATATGTACCTATATAGTTGCCTTCTTTTATTCCCCTCTCCTCATTTCGCTAAACATAATTATGTTCTTACATCGGTGACCTTGGCATTTTTATCACCGTTGCGGTCGAAAAACATCGAATGTTATTTTTACGGCTCTTAGGCTTCGTCTTTGAATATTGCCTCTGCACCGGTCTTAGGTAAAAATTACTCTTTGGGTGCAGAAAACTGGCGCCAACATACCGCCCCGCTACTCTCCGCCACAAAATCGACTACCTGTAAGACGTTGGCCCAGGTTAGTGCGTTGTGTGGGATTGTTATGTAAGAATATTATGCGTGTGGTTTGCTGCCGAATATTTTGTTTTTACTGCAAAACTGGTACAAGTAAAAGGATCAACTCCGTGGGAAACATGGCTCAAATTAATGAGAGTCTATTTGAAGTCTATGGAACAAAAAATAAAAAATATAATGAAATAGTAGCTTCGTGTATTGTTTTGTACAGGACCGCAGACGACGAATCGTGATAGACGGCCAAATGATCTTTGACAATGGAATTTGGCATTGTAATAAGTATGTATATACATATATACGGAATTAAAAAAACAAAACAAAAAATTGAAATATATTTAGGCTCTGAATTTCACGCTCATTATTAGCAACAAACGGTTTTATATATTATGTTACCAGTACTTTCACTCTCCATGGGTTAATTCGAATCAATATTAACGATTTATTTTTTTCTCTCGTTAAGAATCTGTGGTCAATAATATTTCGTTATGTTTCGAAATCTGAACAATCGGTCATTCCCAGTCTCCCAGACCGTATAAACACATAGATCTGTGTATATATGTATGTATGTATGTATGTATATATATATATATATATATAGATGAACTAATTAGATTATCGTGATCTTCCGTATAAGACAAATTGCGTTATTAAACCGAAACCATCTAGTACCGAGCACGAGTTTAATGGTCTTGGTATGTCACGAACTTCTCTGGCGGTGGTAGTTGTTCATCTGCTTTCTTTCCGGCTTCCCCTTATTAATGAAATCAACCGAAACGTGAAATACGACTGTTCTTACCGTGCTTTGTTAATTTAAGTTACCCAAAATGAACTCGAAATGTCTTTATACAACTAGTGAATACTACTGACTATGTATTCAATGAATATATTTTGTTTGTATAAAAATTTATTTGAAAATTATTAAAAATTATTTGTTTTACATTGGCATTTATTGAATGTTAGTGCAACATGAATTTAGTAAGATCAACGTTTAAAATGACAGACTGCTATTGAAATTTTTAACTAATTACTGGTTCTCATTTATCATATTTAATAAACAAACTTGGATCTAATTTAATTTTAAATTGCTTCTCTTTTTTTGATAGTATGTTTTTAAGTAGTAAACATGTATGTATAATGTACATATGAACGTGTGTGTACATGTTTTATTTCAAATAGATTGTGATTCAGATAGCGAATTTTTTTTTGCACGCAGAAATTCAATATCGGAAACAAACAAGTGCTATGTACATGAATGTTGCTCTTCATTATCTGCAGTTGCGTATGCAAATTTATGGTATGTTGCGTGTAACAACGAAAGCCATTATTAGTGCTATGAATATGACGGTCGGTTAGAGCAGGAAAAAAATAAAAATAAATCTAATTTCGTTTTAATGTCTTTCTTCGGTTGGAAATAAAAAAAAATGGGAAAGGGAAATAATGATGAATTATAATAACGCGTACAAAAGACGTATTGTAATTAACCAGGTACTTATGTAAAAAATTAATTTTTACTGGACCGAGACGGACAAAACCGTTTCTCAACCTTACTAGGAAATTCTTCAATAAATTCTTATAAATGGTTTATTCTTTTTTTTTTCCTCCCTTCTAAAATATAATTTCCATTCATGTATGCGCATTTTGTTGACAATTTCCTAGACGTTCTTGCAGTCCGGTCACGTTTTTACACAACTGCATTAAAGCTGGTACCCCCCAGACTGGTCCTAGACGGATATTTATTTTTTCCTTACCTTATTTTGTACACGCATCTTCAATCCGAACACGCCGATTCAAAGAACTGCTGCACGTGCTGCAACTGCTATTGTAAAACAGACAATTTCGACGACGACGTCGAGTTATTCGTTGGAAATGTTAGTACAATAAAATATGTTGTTGGTATATTGTTAATAACGTAATAGTCGTATAATTAAATTAAAAAAATATTGGGTAAAAATTTAAATGAGAAAATATAATGTTAAGATTTTGAAACCTATAATGCAAACAACACTCTATGTAAATTGATTTCAATATTATTTTCAATGTGTGAAACACATTAATTTTCGGCCCTCCGTTGAACATTACTTTTATGTAACGACAATATCATTTCATACGATTCTGCTTGTCTAGTAGTGTGTGTATTACAATTTTTCAATTTCTTCGACGCTACGCTTGCGAATAATACAATATGAAATCGTATACATAACACGTACAGGGTACTTGCACCACCTATCTGTACGTTAATGAATTCTTCGTTACATTTGACCTATTATATAACTACAGTAGTGCCGCGACAGCACTATAGAAATGTATTTTAAGAACCACCGACCGTGTACTACAATAGACTCGACCGATTAATATTTAACCGTATTCGCGCATATTATATTTATTACAGTTTTCCCCTTTACTTTGTACTGCTAAGTATACGGACGACGAATAACGGTGAATTTCTTAAATCTTAAGCTTCTCGTCGAATTTTTTTTCCTTAATAACCGTGTAAAGTACATAAAATAAATAAGCGCATTTATCAATTTCTAATATACTTATATGTATTTTGTTGCGACGGGTTTTAATTTTTTTTTCTTATATTCAGTATTGTCTGAAGTTTATTGCTGCGATGGTACGCTTTCACTTGAATTGTATATTTATATATGAATAGCGTACATGGTTTGTGTATCAATCGTATGATAACGCACGCGCGTATAAATATCGCGAACCGGGGCGGCGGCCTCGGCGGCGAACCGTTGCCGTCCATTTCCATATTAACGAAACGAACAGCTTTAACCCCTCGTTGGAAAATATATTGGTTCAATTTCCTTTTCGTTTTTTCTCTCTATACCACTTGTATGTATGTGTTTTTGTGCGCTCTGCTCCTAAATATATCAAAGTCGTTTTTTCCACCTTAAATCTATTAGATCGTCGCCGTCGCCATAACGTGGTGTATGGGTTTCGTATTTTTCTTTTCCATTAGGTTTTATTTATTATTAAATCGCTCGTGCCAGGTTAGGTATCAAGACGTTTATGAAATGCTTGGTAGTTTTCGTGTATACGTGACGCGGCCGCGAAAAATTGTTGTTTTTGCGTTTTTTCCCTTTTATTTTTAAAACATATTTTATCTCTCTGGTGCTTACTAATAGTTGTAGGACGCGCGTGCCGAGCACTGTGCTGTTCTTTCTGATGTATTTTTGTGTCGCCGCGCACGTATAGTTTTTTAACCTATGCGGACGGTTTTTAATTTTTTTATTTATGTTCCCATTCCGCGGGTAAAATCTAATCTGCAGTAGTCGCGCTTAGGATTTATATTTTCCAGGATTTTTTATCGCGTTTTATTTATTCGCATTCTAAGCACCGTGCTTGCAACGAGCGGAATTAAAAAATTAGTTAACTCACGTGGTTACACACGATAATTTACTATTGTACAATATTATTTTGTTTTATATGAAATATGCACATATATAATAACCAGGGCTCGGGGTTTATAGCACTTAAAATCATTAAAATAAGCGCTTCAAAAAGCGCTTAAAAACATCATTATAAACACTAAAATAAGCATTTAAAAAATTTAAAATTAAGCAAAAATATTTATTAAAAAAAATGAACTATAAAATAGTTAAAAAATTATTAAAAATGAACTAAAAAATCAAACAAAATAAAAATAAATCTTCACTTTTAAGACTTTAAGGATTTTATGGATTTTCTAAGGGATTTTTCTGAAAAATAAAATGTTAATTGTTCTCTCTGTTCTTGATCATTCTGACGTTTGTTTGACACTCTGTTCTATTTTCAGCGTTGGATTATCTTTGTTAACCCTAAAACGATACCTTGGACGACGACGAACTACGTGACAATGTTAATAAGATAAGAATTAATTTTAATTTTTATTCGATCAAAAACGATTTTGCAAGAGAAAACTATAAAAACGTAAAAAAAACTAGTCAAATAAGCAAAAATAATTAGAAAAACTGGAAATAAGCATTTTTTTGAAAAATTGCTGAAAAAAGCAAAAATAAAAGAAAAGCACTTTCAAATTTCATAATTGTACGTGTTATAATTTAACATACACTTCTATAGCACTCTGCTACATTTTAAGTTAATCCATAAAAATAAGCAAATGCTTTAACTCTCGAGCCCTGATAATAACATACCTTCATCGAAATTACATATGAAATGTACGTTATATAACTATATAATTAAACGTTCATTTTTATTACAAATTAAAAAGATTTTTTTTACATTAATAAGATTGCACCCATTTTATATATTTTTACTCTAAAATTTACATGACCTTAATAAATAATTGAGGGCTTCCGTTTTCGGTGAAATTATACAAAAAATAAAAATTAATTTCATAGAAATTAATTCACGTGTGAGACACTTAATATAGGAAAAACATATATTTTGTAGTTGTAAATGTGTTTCAGAAGAAAAGAAATTAAAATTGAACTTCAAATATATATTTAGGTATACGTTCATTTATTGAGTTACTTGCTTATAATCTTATGGTATTAACCTTATTATTATTACCGTTAATATTATAAGATATTAAGATATCGTTTATTATCTCATGAAAATGTTTTTGTTAATCATTTTATGGTTATAATATGCAGACCAT